TAGGCGACTCTGCGGACTGTAGAGGTTCATCACAGGTACCATCGAGGGCAGTGTTTGGTGCACACCTCAAGGTATCAGTTGTGGGGCAGTGGTTGCTGCCCAACCGCAACTGTTTTAAGGTGTTTTTTCACTTACAGTGCCATTGGTTAGGGGGTCAGCCACGTGACGAGTCCGTAACAGTACCTCATTTCTTGTTCTTTTCTCCCTTTCTGCCTTACAGTTCCCTATGACGCCCCTGCTTGCTCATCTGCTAGTGATGGACCTGCAGCTTCCACTGCTGCAGTTTTCAGGGAGACAATCTGACTCATTCTTTGTCGCTGGTCGGACATTGTGTGGGGTTGTGACGTTTTCCAATGAGTGACAGCTTGTAGTAATGAACATAGGAAAGCAGGAGACAGGAAAGAGGGAGAGACAGAGTAAGGAAAAGAGTGAGGGAGAAAGGGAGGATCGAGGGAGAAGAGATGGAGAGGGTGGAAAGTCTTGAGGTCGTACGTCGATTGCCCCATGATGGGTGACTTATGTCCACCAACTTCTGCAGTGCTTTTTGGACTTTGGTCGAAGGTTCTTTTTGTGGGTTTTTCATTGTGTTGATGCTCTCTTCGCTGTTGGCTTTTTTGCACTCAACGTTCTTATCTATGTATGACCACCTCTGATTCAGGCAGCCTACCGTCTCCCCCTAACGTAACGCACCCTGAAAATGAATGTATACGCGCTATATTCCCGGTTCATTACAGCCATAATCAGGGTGCGTTGTGTTCGGGGGAAGACGGTAGCAGGTAACGTTTTTGCCCTGTTTTGCTATCAGCAGCTCTTCAGCTCAATTCACTGGGCTGTGTCTGTAATGCTTAACAGGAATGTGGTATTCAGGCAAACAACAAAGAACACTCTAGGATCCTGCTGCCTAGCTGTCAGATGTGCTTGGTCGATCTTTCCTTCAAAAAAAATAAAAAATAAAATGAAAAACACGGCAGGGTCTTGCTGATTTGTGTGTCATCCGTTTCTTTGGGTTTTGTCTGCAGAGGAACGTGCGGCTGTTATCAAAAGGCATGGAGTGATCAGAGTATCCACAACGAAAGGGAAGGTGGTCTGAAGCTCTTGGCAATGGATCGGCGTAAGAATCTGGAATAGGGAGGGATGTGGTGTTAGGTATGTTTTGCCCTTCAACTCGGGGGAGAGGGCGGGCGGATGGGGTCCTGAGGGGGAGAGATGTACAGTTTGGAAGGGCTTGGGGGGGGGGGGGGGGGGGGCTCTCTGTCAAGTGCGTGAATCGGTGATGTTTTGACACATATCCACCGTCGGAATGATGCGGTGAGAGCAAGGGTGAGGTTATGTTGCGGTGAGGCAGGGACAGGGTAGCTCACATTTCTTGTGAGTGCAGCAGAGAGTGGGATGGGTGGCAGGCGGGGGGTTATTGGGGAGTGGGAAACGGGCTCGTTCATGATGGAGGCAAAGGAAGCGGCAACGCTATTGGGCGCCTTGCCATTCTAGAATCCATCCTGCCACACAATTCTTGCAGCAGAACCTTGACCGACTTGATCGGCGTTGTATCGGCAGGGTGAAGTGGAGGGGTGGTGGTGGAGGGACTTGCATTGCAATGTCCGGTGAGAGATTGTTTGTGCAGAGGAGCTTCTGTAGGTAGCTACGCTCAGTGTTCTGATTTGCTGAACAACATTACAAGATGGAGGTGGTATGAAGACTCCTCAAGTGTATAGATGAGTTTTTCGCTTTGTTCTATTTAGTGTGCTTGTGGATGGCAGTGAGTGTTGGTAGTGACAAACAAGGACGGAAATATGGAAGCACTGCCAAGGCTGGGAAGAGGAGAAATGCCGGAGGCGAGGGTAGGGTAGGGGCGGGTACGGCTGGACTTCTGAGGCAGTCAGCCACCCCCGGGGGGGTGTGGGGTAGAGGGCTGTGGGCAGCGGTAATTGGGTGGAAAGTAGCTGAGATGGCTGGCTGTATGACCACGAGAGCAAGAGAGAGAGAGAGAGAGAGAGAGAGAGAGAGAGAGAGAGAGAGAGAGAGAGAGAGAGAGAGAGAGAGAGAGAGAGAGAGAGAGAGGTGGGCTAATGTGAGTTAGATGCATTGTATTGTAGAAAGCAGCTAGTATGGAGAGTGGTTCTGTCCTTGAGGTTCGGAATTGATAGGGAAGCTGTGGAGCCATTGCATGTGCTTGCAAAGCTGGATGTCTGAATTTGTATATTTGGGGCTGGGATCGATCGGATTCTTGAAGCAGAGATCGATCTTACAGGCAACCATTTCCTTCTGGACGTGCTGAGCATGGCTTAAGAGGTTGGAGGTGATGGCACAAGGGCATATCCCCCCTGAAGATGTGATTCTGAATATGCGTCTGCGCTCAGCGATGGAATTTCTACAGGAACTTGATAGTTGCATTATGACACTGCGGTTTTATGGAACAGGGTGCTCGTCATTTGTAGCGCAGGCTGGGAGATGTTTATGCTTCTCTGTGCTCCCTTGCAGAAGAGGACGGGGATGTCAGCGAGGTCTTGCTGGACTCTTGGAGGAGGTGGAGGATAGACTATTTATGGATATAGAAGAGTGCAGCATTATATTTTGTTGTGTTTGGGACGAGAGGATCTCATGTAGAAGCACCTGGTTGGAGGGTTGGACTCACTTCCTTGAAAGGGAGGGTGGGGATGTTTGCGAGGCCCTAGGAAACCACTTAAGGTAAGCAATGGCCTGCATGCCTAGAATGGTGAAGTTTGAGTCAAACGTATTGCTGGGGGCGGGCGGAACTGGTTCGAATGGTTGACGATGCTGGTTGCCGCCAGTAGGGCATTCGGACCAGCTGGTGGGATGTACCTCATGCTTGCGACTTTCTCAGAGAGGGTTCTTTCTATCTCTGCGAGAGGCAAGGAAGGGCCTGCATGCCTAGAATGGTGCTGTCTGAGTCAAAAGAGCTGCTGGGGGCGGGAACTGGTTGAAATGGTTGACGATACTGGTTGCCAATAGCAGGGCACTTGGACCAGCTGGTGGGATGCAGTTGATGAATGTCTCGACTCTCTCAGAGAGGATACTTTGCGGGTGAGTACTGCAGTAAAGGGTAATGGTTATGCAATCCTGCATACAACATGATGGTTCGATATGCTGTCGGGATTCAGGCTGCTGTAAAGGGAAATGGTTATGCATCTGCATACAACATGACAGCTTCGATATGCTGTCGAGGTTCAGCGGCTGAAAAGGGTAATGGTTATGCGATTCTGCATACAGTATGATGCCTGGAATGCTGTCCAGATGCAGTCGATGATCTTCACAACAAAAGAGGGTTCTTTTGGGATAATCGCTGCCTTTACACGAAGAGCTGTCACCCTTATGAGCAAGTGGATGGTGCTCTTGGCTTCGCTAGGTATGTTAACGCAAGGAGGGGCACATGGCACTGATGATAAGGAAAATGTGCCGGGCTTGTCAACCAATCCCTGACTTTGTGTGTTAAGCTGGTATGTTTGGTGACTCAAATGTCAAAGTCTTTTGGATGGGGCAATTTCGGATCGGTACTACCTATAAGGTTTTCTCCATATCGCGGCCTATCAGTGGCAAAAGTTCGTGAATCTGTAAGTAGCAGTGTTATCAGGACTTGTGGGTGGTTGCCTTGACTGGCTGATGGAGCCTTGCAGAGGTTTGGCGTTCTGCGCTCTTTGATCGATGCATGCCGGATTGGTTCATGTGAGTCGATGCCACTTCGATTGGGAAGGTCTGCGGAGAGGTGGGGTCCTTGTCCTCGGAATCGAGGTGGGCAAGGAGATGTACACAAGTTTTGCAGAGTGCAGACGTGCACTTTGAAAGTTCTGCCGACAAGCGGTGATAACCCGTGCAGCGATGAGTTTGCGACACCATGTCGCTTGTCATCATCCTTTTAAAGTCGACGAGTCAAAAAAAAACAATCTGCCTTGGCTAGCATGTGGGGGTTTCATTATCCGGACTGTGTCGCCTGATGAATTGAATGCTGCAGGGGCAGCTGTGGGTACAGCCGCTCTACGCAGGGGGATTGAGGTGAACTTGGCAGTAGATCAGGTTCAGTTACCTTTGGCAGGAAGTACTTCCATGATGCTTTCAGTGTCAAGTGCTTGGAGGCAGACCTTCTGGGCATGACATGTGATGAGCGAGCGGGCAAGTCGTCAAGAACCGTTAAGTCGCCGGCGGCCTGATCGCCGATGGGGGAAGCCATTTTATGTTGTGGGGTTGCAGCGACGACAGACCTTCTGGCCATGACATATGATGAATGGACAAAAAAGTCGTCAAGAAACGGTAAGACATCGGTGGGCCCAAACGGCAGCCAATTATTGCTGCGGGGTTGGAGTGATATCAGCGCCAAGCACATCCACTCTTCTCTGACAAAATTTCTTGATGCAAATAGTTTTTGGTGTGAGAGGAGTATCCTTTCTGCCACTGCATAGGCTTCTTTCTTCTGGAAAGAACCTAAGATGAAAGGTGTTGGAGCTGTATTATGTGCCGCCGCATGGAATGACACAAGCCCGAATCCACAGCAGCTGGACAAACGTAGAGTCCTGGCGGAGGGGTTGGTGGATGGTATTTGCAGACGAAAAGGTTCTTCGTGGTTGGATGGTGCAGGCGTAGACGTAGATGTGTTACAGGCCGCACACGGAATCTATGCTGATGTTGAAGTGACTGGCTGGAAGCGAAAGAGATGATGGATATGATCTGTGGTGGGTGAAGAGGGGGGAGGGGGTTGCAGGGGCATACGGGCATTACGACGTTTTCTTCTAAGCTCTGGACGGCGTGATTGCCGTCATATTCGTCCGGAAATTATGCCCATAATTGCAGTCAGGTACGTTTAGGAAAGTCCGACGACTGAGAGTATGCCCTAAGGGTGGTTGACTGGTCACAAGGGTTTGACATGGGACCACCATCGTTGCATTCTGGTCGGATAAGCGAGATGCATCTGGTTGTGATGATGTACACAGAAAGATGGGACAGTCGGAATTTGCAGTGAGGCTGGGAATGCGCAAATGCGCGCGTGTGAATGAACACATGGCGATTGGACTGGCAGCAGCCATGGGCATACTGTCGCTCCGAGAGTAGCAGAGCAGTGGCGCCTGAACGGGGAGGATGTATCATTAATGTTTGATTACTGGAAGCTCGCCGGGCGAATGAGCTGCTGGCTGTTTTCAGCTGATTATCGGTGGAGAAAAGGCCGGGCAATGGGAAAGGTGGTTGGCTTTTATGCCGAAAACAATCGGCGAGCAATGTTTGCAGGTGCTGGCTGCATCCGGAAGTTGCTTTTGTCAGTTATGATATCGACTTTCGTGCGGGAGCGGAGTAAGCTGAATTTAAATGGAAGAAAATATCCTTGTATCAACTGCTTGTTTGTGAAGGGGGAGGGAGGGGATTCTCCTCGCTCTTCTCCAAATTATGGAAAAGATAACGAGAACGGATCTCGGACACATGATTTCCCACAGGGTATTCTCTCTCGCTCGTCTCCAAATTACAGAAAAGATCACGAGAACGGACACACGATTTCACGTTGGGTATAGGTTTGGCCGTGCCTATGTCTGGCATGCAGATGACACCATTCATGCTCCAGGGTAGATCCATCAGTCTGGTATTGTGCCTACTGCTTGCTTGGCTGCTGAGTTCGACAAAAGATTCATGTGTTTCTCCTCCGGCTGTTGGCTGTAGAGGGTAGCAGGCAAACTTCCTGATCGGTTAGCGCGAAGTTTTTAGCCCCCAGACGCTAAAAGCATTTGCTTCGGTCAAGGGGGGGGGGGGGGGGGGGGGACGCTGTTCAGAGAAAAAGTGCCCTCTTTTTCAAGAGGTGCCCTCGCTTTTCCGAGATTGAGTTGGCGACATGTTTTAAACACAGTGTCCTGAAAAGTCATGCCACAGCAATGCGAAGGTTTTGTGAAGGTTTTGTGAAGGTTTTGCGAACTTTCGACTGTCCTGATGACACAACGAGATAGATGCATTTGGTGCATCACATCATCATCGTTAATTGGTTTTGTGAACGCTTTGTGAAGGTTCTGTGAAGGTTCTGTGAAGGTTCTGTGAAGGTTCTGTGTTCGTGAATGTTCGACTTTCCTCGACCACTTCCAGCAATCTGTTCAGCACCCGGGGTGCAAAGCACCTCTTCTTGAATGGAAAAGGGAAGCGTCTATTCCTAAACGGGAAAGGGACGCATCTGTTCCAGAACAGGAAAGGGATGCGGAATATATTGCACACTGATGAATCACTGTATCCATCCCTCAGTGGATGTGCATGCAGCTCAGCTCAGCTCTGGAAGGAACGTTGATGATATTTCTGTGTGTTAGGGAGGGCATGTTGGACGTGTGTTTTCTCTCCGTGACTGGAGGCAGCACAACAGGCTCTATTCCTAAACGGGAAAGGGACGCATCTGTTCCAGAACAGGAAAGGGATGCGGAATATATTGCACACTGATGACTCACTCTATCTATCCCTCAGTGGATGCGCATGCAGCTCAGCTCAGCTCTGGAGGGAACGTCGATGATATTTTTGTGTGTTAGGCAAGGCATGTTGGACGTGTGTTTTCTCTCCGTGACTGGAGGCAGCACAACAGGCTTTTGTACATAGCGGATTCTGGGTCCCTCAGGAAATGGTTCACAGCATTTCAAGTTGACGGTGCCTTGGGTCAGAGATCGTTTCTGCATGAAAAAGGTGGTAGGGGATTGCATGTGCTGCAGACTCTTGCACTCCAGATTGAGGAGCATGTGTGGCGAGCGTCAACGTTTCTGAGAGCTGGTTTGGTGTTTAAGATTCGCTGCTTCCAGGGGAAGCGCATTTGTGATGTAGAGATGATGGTGCCATACAGAGGGGTATAACTTCCAAGTGGCGGTTTTCTCTTTGTCTCTGAAGAGCAGTGATTGGATGGAAAAGAAGTCAAATTTGTTCTAGTTCTCCATCCGGGGAATGCTGATTCTGATGGAGTATTTGTGATGCAGAGAGGCCTGGAGGATATACCTCCCAAGCAGCAGTTTTTTTATCCTCTCTCCAAGGAGGAGCTGTAATTGGAAAATGAGTCAACCTGGTCTATCCCTATTTCTCTGTCTGGGAGATGTTGATCCTCACAGAGTATTTGTGAAACAGACATGGAGGGATGCAGCTGGTGGCGGAGAGTCGGAGACGACTTTCTACGCGGGAATGGGGGTTATCTTTATTGAAGTTTATTCTCTCTTTCATGTCAGTCGACTCTTACCAGGGGGTGTTATTTAATACCATTCACGGCTAGGAACACTGATAACAGCTTTCGTCAATATGCTGTTTCGAAAGCAACCGAGTCTTGCCACGAAGTCCTGAAAACGGTTGTGGCCTCAACAGGGAAATTACAGAGAAGGTGGTGGCCTTAACAGGGAAATGACAGAGAAGGTAGTGGCCTAAACAGGGAACTGGCATAGATGGACTTGCACTACAAGTCCCTCTTTTATATTTACGAAATCCGAGTTTAAAGCAGTGGTGTAACAAGAACCGACACTGTCCGTCAAGCTGCAATGCCGACTCGAATCTTTCTAGAATCGTGCCACGAGCAAATTTTGAGTGAGGGAAAAGGACTCGAAGGTGCAGATCTTGAAGGACTGTGAGTCTGCAGCACCATGCAACTGATTCCTTCTTCGGAAAGAGAGGTGCTTAGGTTCTTGTGTGTGTGCACGGGAGGGGGGCAGTGGGAAGGGGTGGGGAGGGAAAGGGGGGGGGAGGGGGGGAGGAAAGGTAAGGGTAAGGCGCGTGTGAAAGGTAGGTCTGGAATGCATGTCACCTCTACCTACCCCCCTTCTCTGCATTCTTGTTGGGTTACGACGCCGATTATGAGGCAGACACATGTCGTCAGGTTAATCCGTATTGCAGTTATGAATATGAGGTGTGTGGTGTGAATGTGGTGAGGTTTGTACTCTATGCCTGCTGCAGCTTGAGTATGGTGGTGAATTACACTTCATGCCTGCAGCATGAAGACGGTGAACGGTACTGCATGCCTGCAGCTTAATGTGTGAGCTAGTTGTTTCGCCGTGTTCTGGCCAATTCTCATGGCATAGACTGCTTGCTGGGTCATTGTAAAGATACATAGACAATTCGGCCGGCTTTGGATGATGGAAGCGGTGTGAACACGAACAGACAGAAGAACAGTGTAACGAGGAAATGGAGTGGAAGCCAAGGGGAAGAGGCATGGGGCGGGAGCGCGGGCGCGGGGGAGGGGGCGGAGGTGGGGGCGGGCGGGGATGAAAGAAATGGTCGGTGGGGTAATAGGGGGGGCCAATAGGTTTAGACTCTAGAGAGTAGAGTTTCCAGGAGAGTTTAAGAAGGTAGGGGCGAAGTAACAAGTTACTTGGCTTGTGAGCATAGAACTTTTTGACGGAGGAGTGGGTATGAGACGAAGTTCGAAGGGGGGGGGGGGGAAGAAGGGGTGTAATTTTTCCCATAGCAATAAGGAATTTCAGCATGCTTGTTGTGTCGGACTGCTGCTAGCTTCCCCCAAGAAAACAAATGGTGTCCGTCATGTGAAACAGGACCTTTTGTGGCAACAAGTGTTTCCACATTCGCACACTTGTCAGCATATAGATTGAGTCGTGGTTTTACTGCTTAGATAGAACGGCTGGATATCACTTTGGCCAAACTCCGGAGACTTTGCGAAGGAGGCCGTGCGAATTTCTTAGAGTTATTCGGGCTACCGTAAGGTTGTTGGTGTGATATTCCTTAGGCAAGTGTTGACGTAGAGGGGCTCGGTGGGTGGGTGCTTGGGGGGTGGGGGTGGGGGGGGGGGGGGGGGGGGGGGGGGGGGGGGGGGGGGGGGGGGGGGGGGGGGGGGGGGGGGGGGGGGGGGGGGTTGGGAGGAGGAGGGGGGAGGGAGGTGGGGGGGGGGCTGGTGATTACAGAAAGGTGTGGGGTGGAAGTGTGATTGCGGCTTTTAGCCCTGTAGATGGTGGAGGACAGGGACCGAATGTGGAGGACGGAGACATGCAGATCTACAGTCTTCACCCAAGTAGAACGTCCGGTCGTTATTGCTGCATCTGGTCTGAAAGTTGCCCCAAACATGGATATTCTAATGGTCAGGCGTTCTACTTGTGTGAAGATGGTAGTCATTGTTTCCTTCAGGAGGGGACCACGGAAATGTGCATTACTGAGCAGGATTGAGTTGAGAGGGCCCATTCGAGGAGAGATCGCATTCGAAGACAGGTCCCATTTGGGGTGAGGTTCCAATCGGGGGCAGTGGAGTAGGGCGGGTTGGGACGGAGGGAGGGATCACGGTGTCTGTCCAGGCAATCAATGAATGAGCTGGGGTTGTTGTAGGGTGGGAGATATCGGAGGGGAGCTACCGTTGATGTCACTAATTTGAGGGCTGCGCTGCGCGAGTCATATGTATATGATGACATGCCCCAATTGGAGGGGAGCAATTTGCTGCAAAGTCTGATTATTGGGATCATTGGGTAGGTTTAGTGAAACAAACATCTTCTTGCCTCTTTAACTTTTTTCTAAGCTTGAACAGAAAATGAAAGTGCAACAGAAAGAAGGAAGGCAGGCAGGCAGGCAGGCAGGCAGACAGGCAACAATTTATGTTGGTTAATAGAGGTTATGGAGAGCCAGAAGGGGAAACACTTATGGTTTTGAGTTGAGAGAGGAGGCTGAGGCAGGCTTGTCCTTCATCCCCACAAGCTTTGTGTGAGTTTGTGAGTTTCTCCCTGCTGTAATCAATTATAACATATAAGATACAATTAAACCGATCACCCACAACATTCCCATTTGCAGACTAGAAAAGCCTGTTTTTTTTTTTGTTTTTTTTTTGGTTTAGAAAAGACTTGTTTGAGTCAATTGAGCAAAATGGTAGGGTCTAAGATGAGAAGTCTGGAAGCTCGGCAGAATGCAATGCGAGTGGTAGGACAGGCCTCTGAGGGGAGAGTGTGCACGGGACGGGAACCTTTGTCGACGAGAAGGTTTCTGCCCGTCTCATCTTATTCTGTTCTGGGAAGTACCTTCTTTTCCCCCTGCTTTTTTTTCTTTCTTTATTTATTTCTTTATTTCTTTCCCTTTCCCTTTCCCTTGTTTCCCTCGGTACTCCCGGTTAGGTTTTGATTTTTTTTTTTTTTATAACGGAATTAAGCTCAATTAACCAGACAAATCACTCCACCGAACTAAGAACGGTCATGCACCCACCACCACCACCCATAGAATCAAGAAAGAGCAGGTTTGGGAAAGTTCGACCGGTGCAAATCGTCCATTTCTTGTCATGATCGTGACCAATGGTGACTCAGTGGACGTCTTTTCACTCGACAGTTTGGAATACAAGAGACTCAGGAATTCCGAATTCCCGCGCCCC